CGAGAACACTCGACACGCTCACTTTTTTGAAGTGGCGAGAGCATTTTTGGAACCCATCTTGCACTGACCTTAGTTATGCCAAGATAATAATGTAGATTATTTAAAATACTTGTTTTGGATACTCCAACCATTGCTGCAAGCTGCTTCTTCTTCAGCCGGGTATCTTCTAATACAAGTTTTTCTACTTTTGCGCCGATTTCCAGTGTAGTGGCCTCAATTGGCCATCCGGAGCTGGGGTTACTTCAATAGACTCTCTTCCTTGTTCGAAAAGACCATGCCACTTGTAAACCATGGTATTACCAGGGGCAGAGTCCGCGTAAATTGTTAATAGCTCTTGAAAAATCGTCTGAGCAGATTTTCCTTGCTTGGTGAGGAACTTTATAACGGCGCGGTGTTAAATTTTCTCCATACTCGCTATTTTCTTCCCGAATCACTTGTTTGCAAGTCGATAACTCAAAAGTTAATGACCCGATTTGGTTCAAACTTGGTATATGTACTCTTAATGAGGTGCTTAACAAGTGACTACCTGGACGAGTAAACCAACTCCCACCAACCCGTCCATTCCACGAACTTTTTGACCTCCCCTCGTACACAACTGCTTCGTTGTAGAAACACGAACGGGTCAGAGGTGCCCAAGCAAACGACTTTTGTACAAAATCTCCCTCTGGTACATTTATGTTACCTGTATATTTTAGTTACAATATCTATATACTGATCCAATAACGAAAATGTTAAAATTCTGTAATCCAAAAAACAATATTGGATAACAGACTTTTAACATATTCGAAATTAGATATCAGGTGGTCTACCATGAAATGAAATTTCAAATTTTCGGGCTCAATTTCGTGTTTTTGTTCGTATCAAAATCAAACCAGTAAATGGAGTTTAACATTTTTTTCATCATAAATCCTATCCTAATAGTCCAGAGGAACGATATTTTATTAAAAATGTTAATAATTTTAAACGGCATGTATTATGTATTTTTAACATCAAATTTCTGTTTCATTCGTCCCCGAAATTTCGGAAAATACGTCATGGTAGGCCTCCAGACCGATATGGGCGATATTGTAATGGGTGATGGCCTTTTTTCCGCCATCAATTTGTAGAAGAAACTAATATATAGATATTGGATATTGTATCGGTATCCATATTAGCCATGCCTTATGTACATACAAGTGACATAAGGAATGTAATCTAGATAACTAATTCAGAGCACGAAACCGTAATATTTTTTACTGTGTCAAACACTTAAATCTCTACGTCTTTGACTCGATTGCAGGTCGGTTGCACGAGCATATTTCGCACTCCAGGAATGAACTTTTAAATCAATGTAATTAGAATCTACTATAAGTTGTATAGTCCATACTACATTCATTTATTCATTTCAGCCATTATCTGTCTACTGCTGGACATAAGTCTCCCCCATAGACTGCCATAAAGAACGGTCCTGAGTCACCTGCACCCACTGACTTCCTTCATACTACATTACTATTAGGTATTTTGATACTCTACGCTTTTTCTTCATGGGATACTATAGTTCATGAGCGATAGGAATTTAACCACCACAATTAGCTTCAAATCACAATTGATATCTGCTTATAACATCGCAGCTGTTCTAATGTAACAAATTTGCTCTTGACTTTTATAGTTACAAACGACCTAGACGACTTTCTACAGCTACAAACTGTTTTAAAATAAACTCTAAGAACAGTTTTCTTATAGGAATCGTTTGTAATAATTAATTTTTATATTTTATGTTGTTTATATTTTATATATCTATTTAGTTGAGTATGTATGTATGTATATATATATATATATATATATATATATATATATATATATATATATATATATATATATATATGCATATTCCTTGATATTTATGAGTCTATTATTTATTTTGTTATTAGTTGTTATTTTGTTTACCTATTCCAATAATGAAGTACCGCGATTTTTTTTTGATGGGTGAAAATGGTATGGTAACTCCGCCTGCGCTAACGGGATATGCTGGCGGTGCACCAGTGGTGATAGATAAGAATGAAAACAGGCCAGTTAGCCCATCATGATAAGTTCATCAGGAATTAACCATGATAGTTTACGTATAGATACGCAGGGGGAACCGCGAGGAGGTCGACCTGGTTGGGTATATTGCTAGCAATGGGATTCTCAGTCTCCATTACTAACAATCCCTTTCCCCCCTGAAGTACCGCGTTCGTTCACTGTTCATCCCATAGGTTGACTGGCAGAGAATGCTACTAGCATTAACTCCGCCATTTGTACCTTACTTTCTTTTGGTTAATAATGTTATTTAAATAAATAAACAAATAATAACGGAAATCCGGACAACCGTGTATTATAATTTTAGTGTGTATGCAATATTTTACGGACGGCTCCCCGTGGCGGCCGAACGGTCTGTTAAGCAAGATTCTAAAATTCAACACGTGACTCAATGTTTATTCAACCTGATTTGATAAGCCGCCTCTCAATAGACAATCGATGAGGTAACCAGCCAGTCATAACAATGGCTAGTTCAATGACAGGGCTTAGGGCGGACATGTTATCTTGTTTTATGTATCGTAACTCATATTGTTTCAATCGATTACTATATCATTTGTATTGGCACTGAATTGCTCTGAGACCTTGTAGGTCATACGTTCGTGGTTATTGGTGTATTATTTTAACAATTTTAGTGTCTTGAGTAGGGTTTTTTTTTAATGGGTGGTAATGGAATGGTAACCCCACCCGCCCTATTGGTATATACTGGCGGGGCACCAGTGAAGGATGATAGGTGAGGATAAGCAGGTCAGTTAGCCCATTGACGAATTAAACAAGAATTGTTCACGGTGGTTTCCAGGGGGAACCACGTGGAGGTCGACCTGATAGGGCTATTGCTATTGATATTGCTAGCAATGGGGCTGTCGAACTCCATTGATAACAATCCCTTTTACCCCTTGAGTAGGGTTATCAACCCTTCCGGATTGGGGGGGGGGATTGTTAGTAATGAGGTCTTATAGCTTCATTGCTAGTAGTATACCCTCTCAGGTCAACCTCCACGCGGTTCCCCCTGGAAACCATCATGTTTAATTTATGTCGAATTCATCATGATGGGCCAACTGACCTGCATTCATTCTTACCTATCATCTTCCACTAATGTCTCGTCGGTGTAAACCGATAGCGCCGGCGGGGTGACTATTCCATTTTCACCTATTAAAAAAGACCCGCCCGGATTGCCCGGGAGCCTTCGGTAATAATGGTTAACCTCCTAACTCCGGAGGGCAAAATTACTCCGGTTTTTTCTAAAAATTAAATGCATCCGTCGCTCGCTTGTCGCTTCTCATTTGCTTTGCGATCTCTCATGTTTCATGCGAGCGCGATTTTTATTGGATTTCAATTCAGCATGATGGTGCAAGTATGAAGCAAGGAAAGAATCCAAATGAGACTCTTTAGTAAAAGCAGAGTTACAAGTACTAACAAACTACGATTTTATCATGTAAAAACTTTCATTATTTTGTGGTGAAAAACCTACAACTATTAGATGCTGCTCGGAAACATAATAAATGTAAATTTAAAAATTAATTATTCAGTTTCTTTGAATAACTATTAAACATAAAAATATCCCGGGTATTTTCGAGAGTTGCCAACACTAGCCTTGAGTCACCATAATAATTATAATTGACAAGTCTGTTAATAGGGTAGACCTTTAGAGGTTTAATTGGCTTGACAATTTTTTTATTGTGCATGACTAAAAGTTTATTTTATATATATATATGTTTTTTTGCAACTTAGAATGGCAAACAAGCTTACTGTCCGCTGATGGAAAGTGGTAACCGTCGCCTATAGACATGAACAGTACCATGGACATAACAGAGTATACTGTGTCGCTGATGATACCTTTCATGCGTTGCCATTCCTAAGGACTAAGGTGTTATTCCTCTGTACCCAGTAAATTCACTGCCATATCCCACCCTTCAAACCGAAACACAGCCATTCAAACACAACTGCTTCACGGTTGAAACACGAATGGAACAGAGGAATAAAATTAATACATAGCTTTGTTATTATAAGTAACTTGATCATCATCTGCCGTATAGTCCAGGCGTAGAATGGGCCACTTCTAACTTCCAATGGGCTTCTTTCCTTTCCTGTGGGTGACATAAGAGGTAACTATGGAATCTTTAGGAATCTTACATGAATAATAAAATTATTTAATTTGTTGAATGTAATGGCCGAGTGATGGGTAGCAGCGTCACATTTATCTTTTTTTTTTTCAATTGAATTTTGTAATTTGAAAGATAATAATAAAATGTTTGTATCACGTTAGTTAAGTATGATCTATAGAAGGCATGGTTTTATGAATAAGACAAAACCATAAAAGCGTTGGCTAAATTACCGTCACAAAACTGGTATGTCAATTAAGATACACGTGATCTTAATAGCCGCGTATTCAGATGTCGATGATCATAGTTCTCTTGTAATGACTCATACAATATATCATGGACGATCAAGTCAATGATTCGCCTGTTTTGTACCACTGATTATGTACTATGGTGTCAATAACAGCAGACATTTTTTTTTTTCTCAATTAACTTTATAGAGGCTTCCAATTTTTTTTTGTCTATGGAATTCTGCGCGGATTTTATGCGACTTTCGAAATTGACAATTTTCCTGTATTGTTTTGTATATTTGTGACGCGATATCTTTACCAATTCTGAAACAATTTTTTTTTTACAATCGCTATGATTTACTCTCGTGTTCGTTTTATATTAATTTTGTCACACTTAGTCGTTATTTTTGTAAAATATATTAATAAGTAAAATACATGTAAAATTATCAACATTTTCTTTTTAATATATTTTATTTTAAACTTTATTGTACACTCTAATAATACATGACAATTGTGATCGAATTAATAAAATGTACAAAGGCGAGCTTAACTCTAAAAGAGTTATCTTCCAGCAAACATAAAGTGGAAAGGAGCATCAATGTCAGCGATTGTGACAATATTCAAACAAGAAAAACTAGACAAATTTAAGTTTATACATAACTAATTATATCGTATTTAATCGTATATATTATACACATTTACATATATATCTATATATAAACATAAATATATACTTACACACATAAATAAATTAATAAATGTGCATAGGGTTTTTTTAAGTCTACTCTTAAAATATTTAAGGACTAACTTTCATAGGATAGCATGGGAAGGGAATTCCACAAGCAAGCGAAGAGCGATTTTAAAGATAAGGGATTTCGTTGAAGGAGACAATACGCCTAAAAAAATAAAAAATAATAATATAACATATATTAATTACGAGTCATCAGTTTGTTATTTCAAGTTGTGTATGAAAATCGACATCTGTAAAAATGTCATGCTCATATTATGTAAATTATTTGAATGCCCAAACGTTGGTGTTAGGTACTCTTGAACTGTACTGTAGAATATTGCGTATGTCAGTGGACAAACCGCGCATCTGTTGAACAGAAGTGCCGCCTGACGTAATGTCAACCGTGGGATGGAAATGTTGTATAAGTTCTTATTGCTTCAGCTCCGCTAGTCAGCGATTTGGCCCCAATACTGTTTAATTATAGATGAATTTAAACTGAAAAAAAAAATAGAACATTTTTAATGGATAGTAGAATGGTAGCCCCACCTGCGCGGGGGGGGGGGGGGTTGTTAGTAATGAAGATTACCAGTCCTATTACTAGCAATAAACTCTGTCAGGTCGACGACCTCGTGGTTCCCCCTGGAAACCATCGGGATTGATTTATTGGTTAGATTCGTCACGGTGGGCTAACTGACCTGCTTCATTCTCACCTATCATCTCTCACTGGTGCCCCGCCAGTGTATACCAATAGCGCGGGCGGGGTTACCATTTCATTAACATACATTAAAAAAAAAAGAAACTGGGTGACCTTTACTGTCTCCCAATATGCTCATCCAGGAAATCATCAGTACAATAACACATATAAAAAGAAATAATACACATAATTAAAATAAATAATATTAAAAAGATTTAATTCAAATATTATGTATAAAGTATTTCCCAAAGAGGTTCGAGGTCAGGCAGGCGGCCGGTCGTAAAACTATAAGCTGTAAATCTTTTTGCAATATGGATAAAAAACATATTACGCTAACCCCATATAATAATGGGAGTAAGGGTAGGAAGATGATCATTATGTATGTATATTGGCCATTCAATGATTACGTATTATGTTCATGGAGTCCGTCACCATCAAAATCGGAATCTATTCATTCAGAAGAATAAGGCGACATAAAGATAAAGCTCTTGGAATATGTCATTGTTCCAAACATGTCCTGGTGCTTTGAACGTGTAAATTATACTCATAATACAGTCTGTACGACTTGTGGTCGACTGCTAGAGATTTTATTTTATATTGTATAGTTTCTTTATTATAATTCTTAATAAATTTTTTTACCCCTCTGTGGGTGTAGTTTTATATTTCTGTAAAATAAAGTTTCTTTCTTTCGTTCCAAACATGTCCTGGTGCTTCGGACGTGTAAATTATACTTGTCATATAGTCTTACTTAATTACTAGAGGGAGACTTTGTACAAAAGTCGATTGCTTGGGTACCCCTGTCCCGTTCGTGTTTCAACCGTGAAGCAGTTGTGTTTGCATGGCTGTGTTTCGGTTTGAAGGGTGGCATATGGCATAAATTTACTGAGTACAGAGGAATAACACCTAAGTCCTCAGGAGTGGCACGCATGGGGGGTATTATGGGCGAAACAGTATACTCTGTTATGTCCATGGTACTGCTCATGTCTATAGGCGACGGTTACCACTTTCCATCAGGTGGGCCGTCAGCTTGTTTGCCATTCTAAGTTGTATAAAAAAAAGTCTATATGACTTTGGTCGACTGGTAGAGAACACTATAATAAAATGTCATGTCCGTCATTTATAGTCCTAGCTATTGACTACGGATTAGTCCCCGTCGGAATGAAGTATTGCAGAACGGTAGATGGATAACTTAGTTACCTAGGTGTTCACGACATTTAGGTATCAAATTGCCGCCGTATGGTCCCGGCATAGAATAGGCCACCCCTTGTTTTCCTGTGGTTGTCGTAAGAGCCGACTAAGAGCGAGGGATTGGCAGCAGCGTCCTTTTTAAAACATCTCCAAAGCCTAACTGCTGTAGCCAATCCGCCTGCCAAGTGTGCCAACTACTGAGAAGCCAGCCCCCCAAATGAAGGGAGGGGTTGTTAGTAATGCGGACTACCAGTCCCATTGCTAGTAACATACCCCATCAGGTCGACCTCCACGTGGTCTTACCTGGAAACAATCGTGCTGAATTCCAGATGTATTTATCACGATGGGCTAACTGACCTGCTCTTTCATTTTCTCTTATCATCCCTTACTTGTGCCCCGCCGGTGTATACCGATAGCGCGGGTGGGGTTATCATTCCATTATCACCAATTAAAAAAAACTTCCCAAATGAGAGGCCTATGTTGAGCAGTGACAGTTAAAGGCTTATATGACGAAGTATCAATTTTCGTGCGGGAGAAGTTGCAGAATTAGTATTTAATGTAATTATATAAAAAATAATATTCCTACCGGCCCGTTGATTGATTTTTAATGAACGTTATCTTCTAATATTCATCTTATTGCACCTAAAGTGAAATCTCTCTAACTACATAATAATTGATCTGACATTAATTTAGGGTTGCCAGCTCTCTAAATCAGTATCTAAGAACAAGGAATTACATAGAAGGAATGATAAAATAAAAAGTATAAATCATATGGTTGCCTCCTTTCTTCTTATGCAAATATAATAAGTAAAAAGAGGACGAAAGATATACCCTCAGTTACTATTTTTCTCAATTCAAAGTGCTATAATGCTCAATTCATAGGCTAGTGTATAGAATATGTCTGAAATGTCAAATATTTGTCAATAACAAATTTACATTACTAGATTGTATATTCGACACAGTTTATGTAGAAAGTATGCAAGCAGGTTATATCTGAATTTGGTTGGGTTATACGGCCGTATAACATTTTCTATACACTAGCCTGCTATGAATTGACAATTTTAACACTCCTATGTAATTCCTTGTTCTTAGATCCGTATACAAAGCCTTCGTTCCTTGCTCGTCTTATTCTATACGCATTGCGCGTCCAATTTAATTACGGAATTCCTCTATCTTCCTTATCTTTCCACTTCGTGAGATTGGATCCTGCTTTCGGAAACATTTTTTTGTTTCCTGTTATGGCTGTAAATAAATAATCATATCTTCGTATCGATCTATTTACCTGAATCTTCATGCCATGTAGAGGCACCCATTTTCGGTCTTTTTGCACATTTCTTATTTTATTGCGGTCCCGGTAAGGCGTTTCATGCGTGCGCTGGAAATTTGATACAGGTGAGTAATCATTCAGTTTGAAGTAAAATGCGCTCAATTTAATAAAAAAAAAAGTTAAGTCTCTCTGCTCCTTGTTATCCCTTAGATTTCGTAAAATGCGCTACTGTAGAGAAATTTTAAATAAAACTATATACCGACTCGCCTGACCTGTAGCGTTCAAATACTCCCGTTGGGGGGAAAGAGATTGTTAGCAATGGAGTTTGACAGACCCATTGCTAGCTATATGCCCTATTAGGTCGACCTCCACGTGGTTCCCCCTGAAAAACCGTCGTTAGCAATTATTGTTGAATTCATTAAGATTGGCTAATTGACCTGCTTCATCCTCACCTATTATCCTTCACTGGTGTCCCGCTAGTGTATATCGATAGCGCAGGCGAGGTTACCATTCCATTATCACCCATTAAAAAAATACTCCTGTTATGGGTAAAATTGTGTGCAGCGTTTAGGCGTTAATTACTTGCTGTGGTGACGGAAATGATGAATATACCCATGAGTATTCATCAATATCGTTATACAAACGAAGTCACAGAAATAGCTATTATAAATACCTAAATGTTTTCTTTATGTATCTTCCCCTTGAAAACGGAAATTAATTACAGCTTCGGTCTTCATTATAGGTTTTGTCACGTCATAATGTTGCCAGAATTATGTTATCAATAATCTTACATTTAATTTTTTTAGTTTAACTCATAATTTAATTAGGTAATTTTAGTATACCAGAGGGAGACTTTGTACAAAAGTCGATTGCTTGGGTACCTCTGTCCCATTCGCGTTTTCACCGTGAAGCAGTTGTGTTTGCATGACTGTGTTTCGGTTTGAAGGGTGGGATATGGCGTGAATTTACTGGGTACAGAGGAATAACACCTGAGTCCTCAGGAATGGCAACGCATGGGGAGTATCATGGGCGAAAGAGTATATCTCTGTTATGTTCATGGTACTGCATCATGGTCTATAGGCGACGGTTACCACTTTCCATCAGGTGGACCGTCAGCTTGTTTGCCATTCTAAGTTGTATAAAAAAAAAATCAGTAGTGAACCTGTAAGTGATCACACAATATTTTTATTTCGAATATTCTAGGTTATACCCAATACTTCATCGTTGATATCTCAAATTTACCCCAGACTTCCGGTTATCTCTGTTACATTTCCAATTACACATAGACATACACGAGTATTATAGGGTATATTATTATAGTATAGTAAAGTAGGTTACATTTAAATAATGTAATATTATTTCTAACTGTTAGTATGAATTTTAAACTAGTATCAAGTATCAAATTACCGAAGTTATTATTATGTATGCGTAACACTGATTACGGCCACAATGAACGTAGAAACCATTAAAATTAGTATAATAACAATTTAAACTCAAATTACGCTGTTATTTAATTTCCAACCACTTAAACTTATGTATAATTTCTCGCCATAACAAAAAGTGCAAACGATGTATATTTATATTTGTTTTCACGTATTATTCACGGAGTAACCAAACATCATGCGTGACATAATTATGTATGCGTAATCAGTCAATAATAGCATGGGCAGCGTGATGAATGTAAGATGAATTGTTTTGTTATTTATTGCTAAACAATGAAATAAAGCTGCATTTTAGAGTAAAAAACGGTTTTTTTTAATGGGTGATAATGGAATGGTAACCCCACCCACGCTATTGGTATACACCGGCAGGGCACCACCGGCGGGAAACGTGCTCTTGCACCAGATGACTGGGATGATAGATGAATGAACAAGTCAGTCCGGCAGTATCTCATGCCTCCCCCGGGGTGTGTGGGTCTCCATGAGGATTTCCTCACGTAAAAAAAAAAAAAAAGGTCAGTTAGCCCATCGTGACGAATTCAACAAGAAATGTTCACGATGGTTTTCAGGGGGAACCACGTGGAGGTCGACCTGATAGAGCATATTACTAGTGATGTCGAACTCCATTGCTAACAATCCCTTTCCCTTCAGTAGAAAACAGTTGTGTTTGAATATGTAACTGAAATATCATGTTACATGTCATATAATCCCAGCCACCCCCCTTTGCTGTGGATGTCTTAAGAGGTTAGTAAGTCGTTTAAACCATAACTAAAGCCTAACTGCAGTTACCAACCTGCCTGCCAAGGGTAGCAACTACTGACAAAACTCCACTATGTGATTGGCCTAGGTTTTTTTTTACAACACGGGGCAAACAAGCATTCGGCTCACTTGATGGTAAGTGATCACCCACAACACTAACGGCAGATGTGCTGCTCTTGAACGTTATGATGTCGTATTGGTTTCGAAATGCTGCTGCTGGAAGTTAATTTTAAAAATTGGTTGTGCGTGGATTTAAGTGCCTAGAAAATGTTCAGCAGTAGACAGTGGATATATTAGAACTAATCCGTATATTATTCCATGACGCTTAGACAGACGGGTGAGGCACAAGTACATATCATGAGTTTGGTGGTTATTGAAGTACATCAAGAGATTGACAATTGTCTTCTTCAATATAGAATAATTTAAATACATTAATAGTCACATGATATTTCTTTTATATGAACGTTAAAAGTTCCTTTAGAACTATGTATGAATATGTAAAAAAGTCTCACATTATTGGGGTAAATTCCCACAGTAGCAACACAGCATCGACCGCTGGATCGCTGCGGGCTGGGGGGCGGGGCGACTACTGTCATATCGAATTATCGTCTCTTCAGTTCTTTGCTATTATTTCTTTAATAAATATAAAAAAAGCTTTTTCCTGAATTAATTCACTCTTTATATCGCTAGTTTATCGACATATTTACGAGACAGTGACACGAAATAACCTCGAGTTGTTGTTTATAGACGGTCTTCAGTGCGCATCTCGGAACGGTGGAGCGCGTTCGGCTATTTTTGTTTTGTAGCCCCAGTTATAGCGTAAATATTGTTTTTAGTGTCGAAATGCGATACAGCAGTGACTTTTTTTCATAAATTTTTGCTCGTGTCGTATCAATTGCAGCCGCTAGACCGTGAAACTGTTGCGTTCATTTACTTTGCAAAATTCACTTTCAAAATCTATTTTGCTAACGAATCGGTGCTAACGCTAATGTAAATGATTTTCTGTGTCCCAAACCCAGTGCCAAATTAATTCCGAAACGATAATTTTGTGTCAAAACAACTATTATGTTGAAGATATTGTGATTAAAAACGCCAAATATGTCGTGCCATACCTGTTCTGCTTTTGAACTTGGAATAACCGGTTGTTGTTGTAAAATAAATAAATATTTAAAAATATAATATTCTATTTTTAAAATTTATTAAAAAGTTGTGTTAAAAGAAGTGAAATCTGACTAAATGGCACTTTTGATAGTGAAATTGCCTGTATTTAGTGTGTTACAATGAGGCGGGTGTTTGGCGTGTGCTCCGACAGCTGGCTACTTTGCGGACAGAATGTGAGGCTCTAGCTGTAGCCGTCACTAGATGTTGTCTGTATGTTTCTTTTTTAATTTTCTCATCTCACACTGGTCAATCATGCTATAGAGCCATGCAATCATGGTGATTTGAGCTATATCTGGCTGTATATTGCAATGTGCTTCCAATGTTGTATTTAACAAGTTATAAAGAATAAAATAAAGTTATATTCAAGTAACTTAAGCATTCTTGAATAATCATGTTTGATAATTTGCTGCCCAATTTAAAGAAAACACAGTAGATTGCTTTTAAAAAAAAATTGCTTTTATATTGTAAAAAGAAAAGCAGGAACTGGAAACCTTGATTCATTTGGGTTTTTTATGTTTGTTACCTCATAACTCTGTCATTTATAGATCAATTTGGAAAACTTTTTTTTTTACAAAAGAATTTACTTTCTGATTGGACCTATAGAATTTTTTTCAAAATAGGTTCAGTAGTCCAATTTTTAAAAACATATTTTGATTATATTATTGATAATTTTTTACTGAACTAGGTGTTAGTGTATGAATAAAATGACAATCAAAGATTGATGACTAATATTTTTGTATTATTGTATTGGAGGGTTGTATAACTTCTGGTAGTAATAGCGGTGGTTACTTTTCGAGTCTTGGCAGTCACACACATACTAATGGTAACGGAATTAAACAAAATAATTCTAAACAAATAACAATTGTCAATTTGTGTCATAATATATTAATTTTGCATCATTAATTGAATAAATTTAGTATTATTATCTTAAAATATCCAGTCTTTGTTGTAATTTAATAATTATCCTCAATATTAAAATAGCTTTAATGATGTAAGTAATTTATCATTGTCAATATTTTAAATTTATGTCTCTCTAACATACCTAATCTATTAAAAGAATAAATAACAAAATAAATTTGTATTTAATTCTTTATAAACATCAATAAAATCTGTACTAAAACAATATGAAACAATTAGTGTAGTTAATTGGTGCTAAAACTATAAAATGTGATAGAAGTTAAATTACAAACATACAACTTTACTTGTTTTATAAATATAAAGGTGAATTTGTTTTTCGTTACCTTATAGCACTATAATAGCTTAACCAATCATGGTTAGTGAATATATTCCAGTCATGTAGATGAAGTCGTGGGTAAAAGCTAGTACTCCATAGGGGTATTATTGTGAAAATTTGAGTGCATAGACAAATAGAATTTTTTAATTACTTTATGAAATAATATCATCTCATGATACATGCATTATCTGCATTTTTAAATAATAAATGAAAGTATATTTTATTCAAGTTAACTCAAATATAGGCATTTTTAATAGTAATTTTTGTATGTATCTATCACCCAGTTTTGAATGCAATTTGTCATTTTTAAAAAACAAAAAAAAAAAACAAAAGTCAAAGACAATGTATTCCTTAATGTACACACAAAACTACATATATTACTGACACAACAATTACTTGTATATACATATATATTGACATTGGAATCACATTGCAATCATCTCCCATTTTTAATGCATGACTATAAATGATTTTTGGAAATTGTATATTTTTCTATGAAATGTACTGGTATAAATATAGATGGTCTGTATGAATTTCTGTGTTTACAAATAAATATTTGCATGTTTGTTGAAACCTGAAATTGTTTTATAAGCATGCACTAAATATGATTGAAGAATTACTTATTATTGTTATAATTAAGATCTGTGTACCTTATAGTATTGCAAAATATCCATTTTTCACTACTATAAGTACATTAAATATAAGAAATATTATTGTTTATTTGTGTCTAAATAATAGTTATTGAGAGAAACGGGGTTATATTTCATATAATTTCACTAAAATGGTGTCTAATTTTTTAAATAATTCGCAAATTCAAAGTTAGTCACATTATGATTTTGATGCAAAAATGGTGATACATAAGATGTGCCATAGATATTATAAAGTATATATATATATGCAATATGTATGTTTCTGTACATGTCTGTTTTTTTTTTTAATGGGTGATAATGAAATGGTAACCCCACCCGTGCTAACGGTATACACCGGTGGTGCACCAATGAAGGATGATAGGTAAGACTGAAGTAGGTCTGTTAGCCCATCGTGACGAATTCAATAAGAATTGTTCACGATGATTTCCAGGGGGAACCATGTGGAGGTCGACCTAATAGGGCAAATTTCTAACAATGGGGCTGTCAAACTCCATTGCTAACAATCCCTTTCCCTCCTGTACATGTCTGTAGGTGATACCTCATACAAAATGAAGGTTATTTGCCATTTAATAATGAACTCTATACACCTCAATTGCTTTACTTAAATAAGGTCAAATCTAATCTTCTTTGAAAACCACTTATTTATTTTAGACTTATTTATTACTTATTTATTGTATTTTGTAATAAATTTTTGATTTTATTAGAATATATGTGAATTCTTGAATGATACAATTTGATTTATACTTATTAACATTATTTAATTATGTTTTTTTTCTCTTGCTTGACATAATTTTTTTAGATTTTTTTTTAAGTCAGTTTGGTACCCGTTAGCGACTTAATAACTTAGCCAATTATTATGAAATTTGGTAAACACATACTATTTGGGATGGAAAAGGATTAAAGGCTACTTTTTATATGGGTCAGTGAATATATCACGAACATGCAAACAAAGTAGGGGTTAAAAGCTAGTGATTTATAATTACATGAAAACTGACATGTCATATATAAATTTTGTATACCTATATATTATTTGTATGCCATATATGTTGAACATGTGGAACAAGATTATATTTTGTTAACATCTGCATTTATTTGTAGGCATCTTTTATAAATAAAACAATCTTGAATATTGTATAATTATAAATTATTTATTTATTTTTATTAAGCGAAGCTTACAGCTATTTTTGTATTCTATTGTGTCAGCCGTTAACTGTCCACTGTTGAACATAGGCGTCCCCCTATGGAGGGGTTTTGCCAATAGTTGCCATGCTTGGCTGACGGTTTGGCAACCGCAGTTTGGCCTTTGGTAATATTTTATGAGGGATCGTCAAATTCAAATTGTCTTTATTCAAATAGACTTTTTTATAAGCACTAATAATTGTTTCTTAATGTTCTGCACCCTGCAGTAGATCGGACAATTGTTATCTGTTGAGAAGAGCCCGCAAGAAACTCGACAGTTAATCTTTTAAATCTCTGTTAACATTATCACTGTCCCACTATAATTTCCCTTAGTTGCCTTTTACGACACCCACAGGAAAAGAAGGGATAGCCTATTCCATACCGAGACCTACACAGCTATAATAACTTAATAATTAAATATATATTAACAACAGTAAGCCAATTAAATGCTATCACATATAGTGAACAAAAATTTATATTAGGTTTAGTCTAAATAATTAATGATTGGCCAAACACAAGCTAAACATTGTTAAAATCATTGTGAGAATAATTTAATTGATTTGAACAAAGATATATAAAATGCAATATACCCAACCAGGTCGACCTCCTCGCGGTTCCCCCTGGAAACTATCATGATTAATTCCTGATGAATTTATCATGATGGGCTAACTGGCCTGTTTTCATCCTCATCGACTATGCCCCATTCTCCATTTTCATCCAATTTAAAAAAAAAAAAAAAAAAAACAATGAGAGTTCTCTCCGCCACAAGACCATAGATAATTTAATAAATATTATGATCATAATTAATTTTGTTTTCTCTGTGTGATTGTTTACTCTATCTTAGTCTAATTCGCCATTGACCTATAAATGTGATTAGCGAATTTGATCTATGAATAAAAAAAATATATTTATAGATTTAATTGAATATATTGAACGTTATATATGTTTTTTTTTTGCTGGATGAAAATGTATTACTAATGCAGTGAAGGGTGATAGATGAGAATGACTTAGCCCTTAATATGATATATATGTTAAAGTAAATTTGTTTCCCTTCCCCCCCCCCCCCCCGTTATACTATGTTACTACGTGAAAAATTTCAACAACACTATATATATTAATATAGTCAATATTGTATGATTAATTTTTTTTAATGCAACTTAGAATGGCAAACAAGCTGACGGTCCACCTGATAGAAAGTGGTATAGTGCTAAAGGCATGAACAGTATTATGGATATGTCCATGTCAATTATGACAGAGTATACTGTGACGCCCATGATACCCTTAATAAATGTTAAAGTGAATTTGTTTGTTTGTTACATCTTAGTGTCTTAACGGCTGAACCATGACATTTGGTATACTCATTTATGTACTATATAGAGGATGGAGTAGGCTATAGATTATTTTTTATATCGATCGGTGATTATAACGTTAATATATAATAATATTTCGTCACGTAAACGAAGTTGTGGCTAAAAGCTAGTATCTAGTATAAAAATCCCCTCAACAGACATTACTGAAATTAAATTACTTAATTATATAATTGTGTATTGTTTGCTCCGATCTGAGTGTTTTTTTTTTTTTTTATACAACTTAGAATGGGCAAACAAGCTGACGGCCCACCTGATGGGAAGTGGTAACCGTCGCCTATACACATGAGCAGTACCATGGACATAACAGAGTGTACTGTTTCGCCCATGATACCCCCCATGCGTTGCCATTCTTGAGGACTAAGGTGTTATTCCTCTGTACCCTGTAAATTCACGCTATATCCCACCCTTCAAACCGAAACACAGCCATGCAAACACAACTGCTTCACGGTAGAAACACGAATGGGACAGAGGTACCCAAGCAATCGACTTTTGTACAAAGATAGGATAGTTTATATTCTTATCAGTAAAAATAGACCCGGTGGGTAGCGGTAGGGGGGCGACAAAACACCGTTTACCAGGTCAGCACGAACAGCTATAAATTTTTTTAATAAATGAAAAGTAATGAATTGAATTCTTGCAAGGGAACGTACAGTTGTTTTATATGCCGTTTTATGGACGGAAACAATAATAATACATATTTCGAATTTAATAGCCTGCTTTCACAAAGAAACAAGTAAAAGCTATCATTATTATTACAGCAATAGTTATCTTGAAATT